CAGAAGGAATGGTCCAGATGGAGCACCGCAAAACTGGGTCTTTGAGTTTTCTTAAGGTGTCCAACCTCGTTCGAAAAATAAGAAATAAGAATTTGATGAAAATCAGCAGCCTGGAGTAAAAGCATGCGTGTCATTAAAGTGTCACCTGAGCTGTCTAGACTCAACCTAATTAGGGAACAGACACGGGCCCAGCAGAAAAGGAACTCCTAGGGGCATTAATGAGAAGCTAAGTATGTAAACAAAACAAGTTCTAGATACTTTATTTATTTTTAAAACCAGACATGGTCCAGAAGGCATTTCTGGTCTTTTTATCTCTGCACTTAACATTTCTCAAGCCACTGGAAAATATCGAAGGTTAAATGACTTCATATAAGGCATTTCTCTCTAAGAATGTTAATTCAAATAAAAAGAGTTCACTACAGTCAGAATTCTTAAAAACGTATTAATCAGTTAGAGCTCGAAACCTACTTCCAAATTGTGAATAATGTAATTGTTAGCAGTTAGGTAAAACATGATTTGTAACTCATGACGTTTTAATCTAAAATGATTTGTGTGCCCAAATCACAGTCTAAAGTATTTTGTTATAGCAGAAGGAATGGACCAGATGGGGCACTGCAAAACTGGGTCTTTGAATTTTCTTAAGGTGTCCAACCTCACTCAAAAAATAAGAATCAAGGATTTATAAAAATATTTATAAAAATATTCCTTGGTGGCAGAGCAAAACCTTCTAACCTGCTCTAATATTAAGGCCTTACTTCAAGATGATTTGTATAATCCTTGTAATTTATTTTTCCTGGTTAATCTAAAGTTAAAAAAAAAAAGTTCTTTCTACTACAATTAAAATTTTAAAGTAATTTAATCATATATTATCAAAATGCTATCGATCAATATTTCACATTTGTTTTGTCTGCACTTATTTATGTTGTATGAATACGTTATTTTAACTTACATAATTTTAGCTACTCATTTTGCTTTTGTGAGAATTATAATATTATTTGAGTTTGGTTCAAAATGACAAAATCAGACTTAAGGTATTAATTATTTGCATTTCAAATTATCTAATATTTTATATTCATGATACTCATAGGAATAAAAGGTACATGAACCTCTTTCTTGAAACTCATAAATCTCAAACCTGAATGGCAGAAATGTCACCTTAGAAGAAAATCTCAGCGGATTTGAGACCCGCCTGGACAGCGAGACCTCATCTCTACCATAAATCAAAAAATCAGCCGGGCGTGGTAGCACGCCTATAGCTCCGGCTACTCAGAAGGCTGAGGCGGAAGGATCGCCCGAGCCCAGCAGGTCGCAGCTGCGGTGGCCGGGAGCAGCCACTGCACTCCAGTCTGGGCGACAGAGTGAGACTCCAACTCAAAAAAAAAAGAAGAAGAAAATCTCTAGAATCATCTATGCATCTGTCCTGCTTTTCCTAATGATGATCTACTCTATTTAAAAAGTCTTATTGGAAAAAAAGATTCTGTTATACTTATAGATTCTTTTGTTTGAACCAGGGTGATTTTTAATTCAACAAATACTTTTCTGCTATAATTAAATATTGTTTCTGATTATTTCTAGTGAGTATGAGTAGATCACCATTGTTCTATTTTAAAGACCATTGTAAGTCAGCATTGTTTTCATATTGTCTCTTACTAACAGCATCTCCATTTGTTTATATACTTAATTATCAAATTCCAAAGAAATGATGCCTGCATACCAAAAAGGTTAGAGCCATTTATAAAGTTGTGAATATATGTTTTTCTTATCACCCCGAGGGCTCAGTCTCAGTGCATTTTACATAGATGGCTCTCAAAATTTTTTACATGTGATCAATTTACTTGGTAAGCAAGATAAAATATGTAGACAACTAGATATAGATGGAACAGTCAGCTTAATGTATCCATGGTTCAGTGGTAAGCAGTAGAGTATATTTTAACAGCAGTGGAGATAGATCCAGCTTTCCTTGGGGGAAAAAAAAAACAACTGGTACATTAGGGACTTTTGATGTTTTGGGGGTGCAACGTACAAGCTACAAAACACGTTCACAGTGAAAATAAAAAGACACTTGCTATGATGAACAAAGAACTCTCATTTTTCAACGGTCATGTCGCTCTTGTCGTGGGTACCCACTTTGATCCCTGATTAAAATGGGTGGGAGGAACTTGGGCTCTTGAGTGGCCAGCAACATTAGCTGCATCTTCCCAGGGCCCAGTGGACCCTAAGGAGACACTATCCCACCTTAACATGGCAGTACTTGTCCAGGGGGAGGAGGCATTAGGTGGTGTCAAATAATATACGACTGCTCGTAATTGCCATGGGTGCCTTAGGAGTTTCACATACATTACTCTCATTCCATCTTCCTAACAAGTAAAAGTAGTTCCTTTTTTACTGAGTGTGAGAGGGACAGCAAAAAGTTCATTCTCCTGCCAGAAACTACAAGGAAATGGAGCGGTTGAGCTAGGATTTGCATACAATTGTTTCTGAGCACTGAAACCCTACATCCACGCTATGCTGCATGCCAAGCAGCACTGGGCACTGGTTCCAGTTTCCGTTAATGAGGAAACTTTGTGAGCTTCACTTCCTAGCCATCTCCCAGCAAGAAGAACACCCCGGGATGTGGGCGTCAACTCCCACATGGACTCATGGCACTCCCAGACTGGTACCAGGAGAAACATAGACAGTAGAGGCAAATGCTCCCATGATCTAATTCTAGGCATCTGTCTGGAGAATTCCATCCAAAAATCTACTGAGTACACCCAGTGGGAAGTCTTATAACTTCAACAGAAAAATTATAGCTACTCTTTTGAGCCTTCCTAAGAGTGAAGCTGAACAGAGTCAACAAATAGAGTGACCGAAGTCAACAAATAGAGTGGAAGAAGAAAATAAAAATTACATGCACAAACAACATACTGCTATACCTGCCCAATTTGTCTCTTAATTTGGAACTCTACAAGGAATGTGGTATATCAGCATGCCCTTTCAAAACCACCTACATTCTCCGAACTTGGTGTGCCTTTTACTGCTTGTGTAAGTTCATTCGTAAAGATTTAATTAATATATCTGTCCCACTGAGGTGTAAGTAAGTCTATTTGCTTAGGTAATAAGCAGTGAAGACAAAAACATCAATAGCTGTGGCAAGTCAAAGATGGGAGCTAAACAGGAATATTAGTACCTACGTTTCAAAACTGGTGGGGTTGGGCTTCTCAGAAAAAATAAGTTTATTGTGAAAGACCACATATAATTTGCAATAGAATCCTAAATTTCTTTCCTTTATAACAGAATGAACACCATTCAGAAGTGGAATTATTAGCACGTCCTAATCTTTCATGCTACACTAATCTGTTTAATCAAACTCCATCTCAGTTTGTCTAAGCATGCCGCCTGCCTCTGAAGGGCAAATTGCATTCCATCTGACAGCATGTGGTTTTAAAAGAGAATGCACTTGTTTTTACTCCCTGGATAATGAGTACAAAATCACTTTGTACTTTAAAAAAAAGCTTCAAATTACAAGTATCTTTGCTTACATGAGAAGCGGCAGAACAGAGGACTCTGCTGCTGGTCTCTCACTTGTTTAAAAATCTCTTCTAAAATATTTCTTTTCTCTGGATCTATCTGTAGGAAACCTGAGAGTCGAAATACATACACTCCACATGATGTTGAGCACAGAGTGGCAAAAGCACAGCTCAAATAAGATTTTGAAATGACAAAGGCAAGTGGTGAATACTAATAAACCTTGATTAGTTATGCCAAGTGCTCCGAATTGAAACTCCTCTTCTTGTACAGCCCTAGCTTTTCGCAGATGCTTGAGGTTGCCTCTCTGAGATTTGAAATATATCAACATAATTTTCTCCAAACAGCTTTTAACAGAGGAGCCATGTATTCAAAAACAAAATAAACTAGGGCTGTGAGGAAAAAAAAAAAGGCTTATAGTGTTTTTCGTTTTGTTTGTCCCTTGAGTACAAACTTTTAAACACAATTTCTCCTCTACTCTTCCACATAGGAGCTGATACAAAATTCAGGGAGGGCTTTAAAATGATATTTAATGAACCCTGACAGACATTTCCTCGAATTTCTAACGCAGTCTTGTTACTTTCTGTATCAATTTTTAAGTCATTTTACCATACCTAACAGAAGCTCCTTAACCTCTCTGCTTTTCTGAAAGTTTAGTTTAGTGGCCCACTGCAATGGAACCACTAAAGCTGGTTGTTAAAAATCTGAATTCCTGGGCCCATCCAAACTTGCTGAGTTAGAATATCTCATTTCTAGGACTCAGAATCTGCACATTCACAAACATCCCCTCCCCGCACACACACAGTCTAAATGCTCTTCCATTTGTCCCTAAGCATCTTCAGAAGGACCACAGAGGACACCAATATTCATGGATAGTCAAATCCCTGATGTAAAAGGGTGTAGCATTTGCATGTAACATATGCAAATCCTCCTGTAGACTGTAAGTCATCTTTAGATTAATTATAATACTCAGAACAATGCAAATGCTATGTAAATAGTTGGTATATTGTATTGTTTCTATTTTTATTATTTTTTGCTATACTATTCTTATTTATTTATTTATTTTTCTTGACATTTCCTATTGGTGGTTGACTTAATCCACTGATACGGAACCCATGGACATGGAGGGACAAATGTACCATGTGAGAGTCTATAGATATAAATGAATTGTTTATAGACTTTTAAACATTTGCAAAGATTTAGAGATAGATTTCACCTAGAAATACATTTTGTGGACATTGACTAGTATGGATTAATAGAGAAACTGGAAAAAAATATAAAACAATCATCCTTATGCATTTCTTTGAAATACCGTTCATCCTGGATAGTACTCACTGATCAGCTTCTAACAGTACAAAAATCAACTAAGAGAGCATTTGAAACTTTGATAGCACACTGGACCAATGTCATATATTTTTGATGAATAAAAATGATAATTTTTAGCTCTACTTGCACATGGGGAAAATTAGGACATTAGGAAAACATAAACTCACCACTTCTTCATGTCTGCATTTTCTCACATTGATTCCATTTATCTGCAATGAAAAGCAAAGAATAGTTCCCCATGGCATATTGTAAATTGACTTAATGTTTTGGTTACACATAAAAAAGTGATAAAATATATACCTGTAGAATTGCATCCCCAATAAAGAGCAGTCCAGAAAGTTCCGCTATGAATGAAAAAGGACAATTGATAATGCATTAGTTGCTTTTGCTATACAGATGAAAAAGTATTTTTGTTAAGTCAAGGTAAAAAAAATAAATGAAACAAAATGTTAAATGTTCTATATGGTGAGCATCTTAAAAGTTTTACAAGGAATGGAAATTCAAAACAATATGATTCAGTCCACTTTAATTGCTGAAACACCTGCAGAGATATTTCTATTTAGTTCTACAATTTCAGAGCTTTTTTAAGGATAGGTGACCAAATTTTCTCTTGCCATTATAATTCTGTGGTCTCTGTCATAACGTTCGAGATGGTAGATACCCAATTTATCAGCTATGAAATTGTTTCCAAGTTCATTTTTAAACATTACATTGTTTTACAAATTTCAGTCAATGCAACAGTTGATTTATACCTTCTCTGTTTTTCCTAGATGGAGTTTCTATGATAGGCTAACTGAGCAAAGCTGTATATAAGAACTGAAAAACAAAATACCTGAAATTGTCTATACTAGCCTTTATTAGATGTGACTTGTTTGTCATTCATTTGGTTCTTTTGTTTGTTTAGTGAAACAACTGAAAAGTTCCTAATTCATCCCTGATCTCGTGGTTTATTGGTTCATCATTACTCCTCTTGTGTGTGAAAAGCCCTCCTGTGGAGGGATAGAGGGCAAAGACTCAGCATCAGACTCAGTCACTTACTGTCTTATTTTGGGAATCTGGAGCTTTTCAATCACACAGTAACTCCCAATTCTTAAGTATCATCTCACCAAATAGCTACTACATAATTTCCAAACATGTTACCTCTTTGCTCCTTGGAGATTTTTGAAATGACAACTGGAATGTTATGTTCTGCTCCTCCCTGGAAAAAGAAAATCATATATTGTATTATTTAATCTAAAAACATGCAGCTGTTAACTAAAAAAACTTTACAAGCAATGGAAGAAAATATTAAGTGGACACAGGCAGAATTTAAATAAGCTTGTAGAATTTCTTCACTAAGTAGTGCCCCCATAAACATTATCTACTTGTTTAGAACTTTTCTGAAACATTCAATATTTAATAACAATTGACTTTGAAAATTCTCGTTTATCAAAAAAAAAAAATGATGTCTTTAGATAGACATTCTCTTCAATGTGTAACAGCTCTGTCCATTGTAGGAATTATTTAGGATTCCAAACAGCAGATAATTTTACATGTCTTTTATCTGGCTAAGTTAGTCTGTGTTGGTAACCAAGCACTCTTGTGATGCAGGGAACTCTCTGGATGCCAAAGGATCAGAGAGACCTTTACCTGTAAAAATGCCTGAAAAGATAGTCTGAACTCCATTGTGATTGTTCTATTTTCAGAACATGTAAGACATCTAAGCTTTTTTGTTTGTTTTGCCCATGAATGTCCATTTGTAACTCTGAGTTAGTTGCCAGTATACTTAAGTATAAGATAGTCAATAATTTTTTAGTGTTATTTTATTTTTTTCTTGACAAATAGAGTCCTTTCGACTTCTGGAATATTAAGAAATACAATGAAATTTCAAACTCACTACTCAATGGCCTTTTTTTTTTTTTCTTCACTATTTCCCACCAACCTAATATCTTTGCATCCCACCCCTCACTGACTGGGCAGGGAAAGTCCCTGTCAAGAAGCAAGCTACAATAGCTCCTCATTCTGGTTCTGCCTTTTAACCTCTAATTTCCTAACAAGTGCTGACCCTGTCTAAGATGACCCTGTCTAATGTGAGCAAAGAGATAGTGATTTGTTCCTGATGGTGTGATGAAAATTAAGTGCTCATTTTGCAAACAGTAAACACTGAATAAAGGGTCACTATTATCCTAATGCTGGTGATCTATTAAGATTTATGAGTGGCCTTCTGTATCTTTTTTGATTTTTAATAGCTTGAGAAGGGTATTTTGTCTGAAATTAAGATCGCTACTCCTCCTTTCTTTTGTATTCCGTTCACCTGAAAGTTTGTTTCCCATCCTCTTACTTTGAGTCTGTGGGTGTCCTTTCTAGTGAGGTGAGTCTCTTGAAGGCAATAGATTGTTGCCTGATGATATTTTATCCATTTTGCCATTCTATGTCTTTTCAGGGGTGCATTTAGTCTGTTCACATTTAGGCTAATAATTGAAATGCAAGAGTTGATCCCTGTCATAAGGTTCTTACAGAGTTGTTCCTGTTTATTTGTTGTTTTTCTTTGGGTTTTGGAGTTGGTTCATGTGTGTTTTTAATCTTTTGCCTGTACTCTTGTGAAGAATGCTGTTGTTCTTTTTTCTTTTTCTTCTGTGTTCAGTACTTTCTTAAGTGTTTCTTGTAGAGGTGGTCTGGTGGAAGCGTAGGTTCTTA